AAAGAAATAAAGTAGCAAAGAATTCTCTTGGAAAAGATTTAAGTTTAAGGAGTATAATAATTCATACTAGTTTCAAGTGGTATTTGTTTTAATACCACATATTCAGTGACCCTTTTTTTTAGCGTACAGAATTTATTCTTATACTTTGTAAACTTAATCTTGTATTTTATCTTGTTTAATTTCTCACAACTGATATTGGTTCTCACATGTCACAAATATTTATATTTAAAATATTGACGTAAAATTAGGCTGACTGAAACCCTCTTCTAGCACTCTGAAGAAAAATTGCTCTGTATTTGCAATAGAAATTATAACTGTGGTCATATCACTGTACTCTTATTAAATCAAGTCTTGGCCTTCAGACAAAGAAGGTTAAAGGACCGAGGAATAATGTCATATCTATTTGTTTATAGAGATTAACAGCATTCTAAAAATAAGAGTTGATTATTTCATCACCATTCTCTATGGTGTATATTTTCGTTCTTATTATATATCAGTGGTAAATAAGCCTAAACACCAGTCCTACATCTGAATACCAAAAGCTTGTGTTATTATTTAATGAGTCTTTATTATATGGTTCTTTACCATGTATGTGGTTTTTATTCATTATATGATGTATTTGGCAATCTCCTTAATCCTGGGGTGACCAGTAGAAAAGGACACATGATCAGTGCCCTTAGGAGATTTTAGTGTTTTGGGGGAATCACAGACTTTAAGAGTAATGTAAAGCATTTCGGGCCCAAGTTGGAGTTCATGTCTGAACAGACTGTAAATACACCCAAAGAGAAAAATATCTTTGTGACCAGGCTTGGTCACTGTGTATGTTTTGTAAAAGAACTGTAATTTTGAACTAGGAAAGGAATTGCTAGGTGCTACAAGTCTACTCGTATATCCCATCTCATGGTTACAACAACCTAATTACCTGCCACTTGGTGAGCATTTTTATCATTTTGCAAAAATGTTCCATGGGTGCTTGAAAAGAATGCATAATCCCGTGTGTGTGTGTGTGTGTGTGTGTGTGTGTGCGCGCGCGCGCGCGTTAAATCGCTTTAGTTGTGTCCAACTCTTTGCAACCCTATGGACTATAGCCTGCCAGGCTCCTCTGTCTGTGGGATTCTCCAGGCAAGAACAGGTGATCTTCCCGACCCAGGGATCAAACCTGCCTCTCTTACGTCTCCTGCATTGGTAGGCGGATTCCTTAGCACTGTGCCACCTGGGAATCACTTTTTAAGCATAGGGTTCATAAATATGTTTAGACCAAACTTGCTTTTTATGAAGGTCAGGTTTTACTGTGATGTGCATAGTTTGGTTTTTGGACCCTTTTATATATCGCAGGAGTCTCAGAATATCTCACCATGATGGTAAATTCTTTTGGTAAGAGTCTGTGGGTGGTAATCTCAGTTTTTGTTCATCTGAGAATGTTATTTTGACCTCATTCTTCCCATTTTTGATGACTGAACAAATCTAGGGTGACAATTGTTTTCTTTCAGCAGTTTGAACATATTCTACTTCTGTCTTCTGTGTTGCTGTTGAGGATCTAAGTGGTGTTCCTTCGTGGATGATCTTTTCACTGTGGCTACATTTCACTGTCTTCTGTTTATCTTTGTTTTTTAGAATTTGGCTGTAATATGGCCTGTGTTTAACTCTGTAATGTAGGTTTTCTCCTCATGTTTTTCTGCTTGGGCTTTGTTATGGTTGGAATTTGTTATATCTTCCATCAAGTTTGGAAATTTTTTATTGATTGATGGCAGATACATTTTCTACCCTGTACCCAGAGCTGCTACTTAAGATAGACAGATTTACTTGTTACCGCTTTTGTAGGGCAGGATTTGTTGTTTTGTTTTCTAGTTTACTGAGAATGAAGCCTGCTTGGGTTTTAGCTTTAAGCAAGAGGTTCTCCAGCCTTACTGCCTTTGTACAGAGCCCCAGACTTTATGCCTGTTCCTCTGAGTATGGCGGGCAGTCAGAACAGAAGCCCCAGGCCATTGGGTTTCAGTGGAGGTGCCCAGGGCGGGCAGTCAGAACAGAAGCCCCAGGCCATTGGGTTTCAGTGGAGGTGCCCAGGGCGGGCAGTCAGAACAGAAGCCCCAGGCCATTGGGTTTCAGTGGAGGCGCCCAGGGCGGGCAGTCAGAACAGAAGCCCCAGGCCATTGGGTTTCAGTGGAGACGCCCGGGGCGGGAAGTCAGAACAGAAGCCCCAGGCCATTGGGTTTCAGTGGAGGCGCCCGGGGCGGGCAGTCAGAACAGAAGCCCCAGGCCATTGGGTTTCAGTGGAGGCGCCCAGGGCGGGCAGTCAGAACAGAAGCCCCAGGCCATTGGGTTTCAGTGGAGACGCCCAGGGCGGGCAGTCAGAACAGAAGCCCCAGGCCATTGGGTTTCAGTGGAGATGCCCGGGGCGGGCAGTCAGAACAGAAGCCCCAGGCCATTGGGTTTCAGTGGAGGCGCCCAGGGCGGGCAGTCAGAACAGAAGCCCCAGGCCATTGGATTTCAGTGGAGGCGCCCAGGGCGGGCAGTCAGAACAGAAGCCCCAGGCCATTGGGTTTCAGTGGAGACGCCCGGGGCGGGCAGTCAGAACAGAAGCCCCAGGCCATTGGGTTTCAGTGGAGGTGCCCAGGGCGGGCAGTCAGAACAGAAGCCCCAGGCCATTGGGTTTCAGTGGAGGTGCCCAGGGCGGGCAGTCAGAACAGAAGCCCCAGGCCATTGGGTTTCAGTGGAGGTGCCCAGGGCGGGCAGTCAGAACAGAAGCCCCAGGCCATTGGGTTTCAGTGGAGGCGCCCAGGGCGGGCAGTCAGAACAGAAGCCCCAGGCCATTGGGTTTCAGTGGAGGCGCCCAGGGCGGGCAGTCAGAACAGAAGCCCCAGGCCATTGGGTTTCAGTGGAGGTGCCCAGGGCGGGCAGTCAGAACAGAAGCCCCAGGCCATTGGGTTTCAGTGGACACGCCCGGGGCGGGCAGTCAGAACAGAAGCCCCAGGCCATTGGGTTTCAGTGGAGGTGCCCAGGGCGGGCAGTCAGAACAGAAGCCCCAGGCCATTGGGTTTCAGTGGAGACGCCCGGGGCGGGCAGTCAGAACAGAAGCCCCAGGCCATTGGGTTTCAGTGGAGGTGCCCGGGGCGGGCAGTCAGAACAGAAGCCCCAGGCCATTGGGTTTCAGTGGAGGTGCCCAGGGCGGGCAGTCAGAACAGAAGCCCCAGGCCATTGGGTTTCAGTGGAGACGCCCGGGGCGGGCAGTCAGAACAGAAGCCCCAGGCCATTGGGTTTCAGTGGAGACGCCCGGGGCGGGCAGTCAGAACAGAAGCCCCAGGCCATTGGGTTTCAGTGGAGACGCCCGGGGCGGGCAGTCAGAACAGAAGCCCCAGGCCATTGGGTTTCAGTGGAGACGCCCGGGGCGGGCAGTCAGAACAGAAGCCCCAGGCCATTGGGTTTCAGTGGAGACGCCCGGGGCGGGCAGTCAGAACAGAAGCCCCAGGCCATTGGGTTTCAGTGGAGACGCCCGGGGCGGGCAGTCAGAACAGAAGCCCCAGGCCATTGGGTTTCAGTGGAGACGCCCGGGGCGGGCAGTCAGAACAGAAGCCCCAGGCCATTGGGTTTCAGTGGAGACGCCCGGGGCGGGCAGTCAGAACAGAAGCCCCAGGCCATTGGGTTTCAGTGGAGACGCCCGGGGCGGGCAGTCAGAACAGAAGCCCCAGGCCATTGGGTTTCAGTGGAGACGCCCGGGGCGGGCAGTCAGAACAGAAGCCCCAGGCCATTGGGTTTCAGTGGAGACGCCCGGGGCGGGCAGTCAGAACAGAAGCCCCAGGCCATTGGGTTTCAGTGGAGGCGCCCAGGGCGGGCAGTCAGAACAGAAGCCCCAGGCCATTGGGTTTCAGTGGAGGCGCCCGGGGCGGGCAGTGAGAACAGAAGCCCCAGGCCATTGGGTTTCAGTGGAGGCGCCCGGGGCGGGCAGTGAGAACAGAAGCCCCAGGCCATTGGGTTTCAGTGGAGGCGCCCGGGGCGGGCAGTCAGAACAGAAGCCCCAGGCCATTGGGTTTCAGTGGAGGCGCCCGGGGCGGGCAGTCAGAACAGAAGCCCCAGGCCATTGGGTTTCAGTGGAGGCGCCCGGGGCGGGCAGTCAGAACAGAAGCCCCAGGCCATTGGGTTTCAGTGGAGGCGCCCGGGGCGGGCAGTCAGAACAGAAGCCCCAGGCCATTGGGTTTCAGTGGAGGCGCCCGGGGCGGGCAGTCAGAACAGAAGCCCCAGGCCATTGGGTTTCAGTGGAGGCGCCCGGGGCGGGCAGTCAGAACAGAAGCCCCAGGCCATTGGGTTTCAGTGGAGGCGCCCGGGGCGGGCAGTCAGAACAGAAGCCCCAGGCCATTGGGTTTCAGTGGAGGCGCCCGGGGCGGGCAGTCAGAACAGAAGCCCCAGGCCATTGGGTTTCAGTGGAGGCGCCCGGGGCGGGCAGTCAGAACAGAAGCCCCAGGCCATTGGGTTTCAGTGGAGGCGCCCGGGGCGGGCAGTCAGAACAGAAGCCCCAGGCCATTGGGTTTCAGTGGAGGCGCCCCGGGGCGGGCAGTCAGAACAGAAGCCCCAGGCCATTGGGTTTCAGTGGAGGCGCCCGGGGCGGGCAGTCAGAACAGAAGCCCCAGGCCATTGGGTTTCAGTGGAGGCGCCCGGGGCGGGCAGTCAGAACAGAAGCCCCAGGCCATTGGGTTTCAGTGGAGGCGCCCGGGGCTAGCAGCTTAAGCGCTTTCTAGACTTTATTTCCGGCCTCAGAGCGTTTCCCTTGCTTTCCTGCCAGCTTACTGGTTTCTAAGAGGTATTATGTGAGCGTGTATATAAAATTTTAGCATACATATATTAACATAATATTCCCAGAGGATCTATTTGATTTCTTGCAAGGGTTTCAGAACCTCTGCTGATAAAAATGGAAGTCTTTCCTTTGCCTTAGAATGGAAATTTTCTCTTGTTATTTTTGTTTTTATATCAAAATCACACTTTGTCCCTCCTATCATTTCTTCCTGCAGGTGAGCAGTAGGTCATCCAGTCCTAGCGTCAGAATGATCACTACCTCAGGACCAACCTCAGAAAAGCCAGCTCGCAGTCATCCATGGACCCCTGATGATTCCACAGGTGACCAGTTTATTTCCTCATTATAAAGTTGAATTTTATGTTCATTTAATCATGTGATTGCTCTAATGTTTATAAAGACTGGAGTTATACTGTAGTTTAGATTTTCCTTTTAATAAAATCAAATATTTAGCAACAAATTTTAAAATACCGTTTTGAATACTAAGGCGGAAACTACTTTTCCTCATGTGGTTCCCCCCCACCCCCCATACTAAACCTATAGTTTGAAGATGGTTTGTTTGGGGATTTTTTAAGTAGGAAGATACTCCATTCTTGGTATTTCAGTATGATTTTTCTATTACACTCTATCCTTCTGGTAGTAATGATAGTAGTAAACTCTCATCTTTTGAATAACTAAAAACAGGGTGGTAAAGTAATCATCTTCATCTCAGTGTTTTGTTTTAAAAATGCAAGATATTGTGTACCTTGGTAAGAAAAAAAAAGTTCTGACCTTTGACCTTTTGAAGCATTTTTAACTGAGAGGGAGACCTCATTTCAGTTACATAAATAGTCTGTTAAATAGAGTTTTAAAGGCCTGTAAGAGTTATTAAAACTTCCCAACGTGAATAACTTAACTGATCAAAAGCAGAATATAAGTATTAAAATCTGCCTGTCTGAAGGTAGTAATGAAATAGTTTCATTATGGGTAACCAGGAAATTATGTGTCACAATAAAATTAACTTTAGCATTAAGAGGATACCTTGATAAATATGCAGCATAATTCTATGAAAATTATTTATATATTATTGTGTCAGAGAGGGAAGATGATCTCTTAGACCTCCAAAAACTAAACCATTTAGGATTTTATATCAGATCAACAATGGTATAAATAATGGCAATTAAATTGAAATTAAAAAGTCAGCTTTCTGTCTTTACAAACTGAAATTCTGCTTGTATTTATTTATAGATATTTGACATAGTATAGTCAAGTTCATCATGTAATTTAAAAAGTTAACTGGGTGGCTTTCTCTGTGTCATGTAAGATAGAACTATATTTAGCCTTGGCTGTACTCCCTGGTTTTAGAAAGTTTAAACTTAGTGGTGGCAGAAACTCCTAAATTTCACCCCCATCGCAGCCCAGCCTCCGATCGTCCAGAACATTCACCACTACTCAGCACATGTTTATCATGATGTGCTTCTCCTCAGAAAAGGGACAGGGAAATGATCTTGAGAGATTGGACTGTTAGCGTTCAGGTAGTGTTAGCTCTTTTTGACTCACACATCCTTCAGTGAGGGTGGACTTGCCCTGGGAAGCACTATGCCCATTTACAGCATTTGCTGGGTCTCCTCATCTCAGCCTGGACTCACCTGGACATCCCAGTCAAAGTGGGGCAGATAGCGAGCTCACAAGGGTAAAATCAGAGTTCTCCTGCATCCCTCTCATTTAACTGTTGTGATTCCATTTTATGTGTTCTTCTACCTCCAACTCCCATCTCTCTTTGTTCCTTTTCTGGAACCTAAAATACCACAAAATACCAATAGCTAGACATCATACATGAGTCCAGGTTGCAATATCAACTAAATCTCTGCTGTAAAATACACTATAAATGTGTAGTTATCATTTTAAAATAATTTTGAATATAATTTTAGACATTGGGAATCTGATTTAAGTTTATAAATAATAAAGTTCAGCTTTGCAGTGTTTCTAAGAAAAATATTGATACTGAAGCTTACAGAATAAATTGTAGGGAAGAGACAGGTAAAACCTTTTTCTTTCAAGGCCCACTGACCAAGAAAAAAATGTAGAAGTGCATACGTTAAGTTAAAACAACCTAATTAATTGGGTTTTTTTAATTTAAAAGAGCAGCAGTTTTTTGTGTTTTTCAGAGAAAAAGAACAAAATAGTTAATAATTGTAATGCATGGTGCTCTTGTAATGTGGGTTTCTGCTTGTGATACATTTCAGGTGAAGAAAGACATGCCCAAGAGCAGCTAGTAAGAGAGATACCTGGATCCAGTAGAGGGTGCCACAGTGGTGTCAGGGACACTCACTTAAGAGATGGCCCTATACCTAGTACTTTGCAAAGATTGAAGCATAAATCATGCCCCATTTGTTTGTATTCTGATTGGAGTCATGGTACTGACACGTTAAAAGTAAACTCATCATGCTATATAACAGACTGCTACGTTTACAGTATAAGCTGAGTGTTTTAATAGTTATAGATAAGACCTGGCATAGTCTGTGACTTTTTTTTAAAAAATGAGATTTATTATTTAGTCACAAAGCAGAAAGGAGAAGACAGCATTCCAGTTGAAGGGAGCATATAGTTAGAGAATATGAAATAGTTACAAGTTTTGTGTTTAAGAGACAAGAAGGGAGGTTTTACCTAACTTAACCAGCTCATTGTGAGTTCTGGTATTTAGGAAAAGAGGTTAGATTTGATCAGCAATTAAAACGTTATAAGATAAACTTTCATGGAATAACCTTGCTGTCTTAAAACGAGAAAGTGAAAGTCGCTCAGTCATGTCCAGCTCTTTAGGACCCCATGGACTGTGTAGTCCATGGAATTCTCCAGGCCAGAATCCTGGAGTGGGTAGCCTTTCCCTTCTCCAGCAGATCTTCCCAACCCCAGGATTGAACCCAGGTCTTCCGCATTGCAGGCAGATTCTTTACCAACTGAGCCACAAGGGAAGCCTTGTAACCAGAAACTGAAAGCTAAATTTCAATTTAAGTGAGAAGGTGAAATCTCACTTCTTGGTTTCAGAGAACAGATGAAATGTGGTCAAGGACCTTAATTCCCACCGTCAGAGGGCTTTACAGTTGTTGAGAACAGCACAGTCCTTGGGCTTTTTTCCTTTTTCAACCCCCAGAAAACTGTGAAACATTGATATGTTTAATTCTGAAATACATATTGGGAATAGGGGACTGATTAAATATGATATATGAAGTATCAAAGATTTAAGAAAGTGATAAGAGTAGAAATATTAAATTGAAATTTTAAGACACTTAATTTTTCCAGTAAGTTCAGAGGAATCACTTTTAATAAGTTTAATTTTGTGAAAAGCAGTATTCAGTGGAGGTATTATTTGAAACTATTGTAGGGGGTGGGGAGAGGTTTCATCAGAGAAATAAATGTATTTCTTGTTTAGCTATTTCAAAAAAAGCCTTTGCATTAGTATATGATTTTAGGGTAAAGGCTCTAAGGCAATATTCTGTTATTCCTTCTTTATTGCACTCCAGCACACAACTTAGCAACTCAACAACAGCAACAGTTGAACATGACTTTTTAAATCTGAAATGTAAACTTGAATATCTTAAATTGCCCTTTGTTCCCAATTCTTCACCTGGTATCAAAGGCAGTAATTAAAAAAGAAGAACCAGCGCCATGTGTTGAGTGCTCCCCAGAGACTAGCTAGCACTTCGTATTATCCCTTAAATACATTATCTCATCTGCTCTGAATTAGCTTAGCTTTTGGAATTATTTGGAATACCAGTCAGCAGTAACTTAGGAGGTCATTGAACCATCTGACTATCTTAGTTTTTTATTGTATTTGAGGAAGTGCCTGCTGTCATCCTGACCTTGCCTTCATTTACACCGCTCTCTCCTAGAGTCTCTGTAGCAGAAAAAGTGTGAAGAGCTCCCTTGCCTAACTCATTTATTCTCTGTTAATACTGGGGAAGCAGCTGCTTCTGAAATAGCAAAGTCTATATTACCTCTCAGTTACCCTTCCTGCTCCTGGAAATGTACATACACGTTCGTACTGGGGAGAGGGTGCCCCATGCTTCTCTAGCAAGTTGTTCTCCAGCAATTTTACCTCTTTTCGGAACACAAACAGAACTTGTGTGTTGAGATATTTTGGTAAATCGGCTGGTTGGTCTCTGGAGTCAGCCCTGTAACCGCTTTCTGACATGACGGTAAGTCGCACCTCCTGCTGTCCGTGTGTACTGCGCTCCCGTCAGTAACCCCCTCGTTCTCTGCAGTGACTCGCTGCGAGGAGCGGAACGGGCGGCTGGAGGTAGGATCTTTGCTGATAGAGGATGACCCTCTGGAAAAGAACGTACCTCTTGCTCTCCCCCTTTCCCCGTGAAGGAACACAGATAATTGCTGGAGTTGACACAGCCTTATAGTAAGCTTAACATGATCAAGGAGAGAAGGACTGTGAGGCTTGATTAGGTAGAGTCCGTAAGACTGAATTTAAAGTATAAAGGCCCCATATGACTGTTTTTTATTTTAATTAAACAAGGGCTTACATGCTTTAATATATTGTGTTCAGTTCATAGCCAGCTTAAATTGTAGGCATGAGAGTATGGTTGTACTCCAGTTATCTGTAATTGGATGTCCTCTGTTTACCTTTAGAAATCAAAAATTACCAGTAGCAATAACTTTTTTCTCTAGGAAAAACAATCCTCTGCTTTCTTGCTTTATGTTTTTAATTATTTATGACAGAAAATAAATAAAACACATGCTGTAATTCCAGATACCAATGGATCAGATAATTCCATCCCAATGGCTTACCTTACACTGGATCACCAACTACAGGTAAAGGAGCACCTTCTCGGCACTTTCCTTTCTCCTTTTTAGAGAAGCTTGTCTTGAAAGCTAGTGGTTGTGTTCTTATTTGTCATTGTGTATGCATTTATGTATGCTTTCAGTTGGCCTCCTTAAACTTCTAAAAATCAGATTGAAATAATTGATTCTCAGTTAAGTCAGTGAGATTGCCCAAATCCTATGTTTCTAATCCAACAATCACTTTAAAGTACTCAAATCTTTGTTCAGCTGCCAAGAATAGGTCTTGGCTCTTCATTGTTAGTGTATTAAAATGTAAAACTCATATAAGCTCATCTCTCCTTAATAGATTTTGTGATACATTGGCATGTTCATGGTGACTGAAATATAAGTAATACACTTCTCTGCCTGAGTATGAGAGCTGTAAACATCTTTCAGTATAATAAAGTTTGGCAACTGAAATGTAAAACCAGAGGTCAGGAGTACTGTAGTCATAGTTCAAAAGTTTGAAAACAGCAAGTGTAAATTTAAGATCTGAGTTAACACTGACAGAAGAACACCGAGGTTTTCTAGGCCTGGTTTATTTAACGCTTATTTTTAAAACATCATTGCTTTAGTGCTATAAAAGTCGTATTACAGTCTCTGTCTTAACGCTGAGCTAGATACTGAGATTTGACTTAATTATGTTTTTAACATTTGTGATTTATTTCCAGCCTCTAGCACCATGCCCAAACTCCAAAGAATCTATGGCAGTGTTTGAACAGCATTGTAAGATGGCACAGGAATACATGAAAGTCCAGACGGAAATTGCGTTGTTATTACAGAGAAAGTGAGTTCTCGTTTATGAGTAATGTAAAGCATTAGTGCTTGGGAGTTCAAAATGCGCTAAGGTGCAATATTGTTTAAAGATGTGAAAACCATCATTCTTAGAATTAATCATGAAGTATATTTCTCATGTGGAGCTTTTCTCTATGTTTATGTTTTTTCTTTTTTTTTTTAATTTTTTTATTGACGAATAATCACTTCACAGAATTTTGTTGTTTTCTGTCAAACCTCGTCATGAATCAGCCTTAAGTATACATATATCCCCTGCCTTTTGAACCCCCCTCCCATCTCCCGCCCCATCACACCCCTCTAGATTGACACAGAGCCCCTGTTTGAGTTTCCTGAGCCATAGAGCAAACTCCTGTTGGCTATATATTTTACATATGGTAATGTGGGTTTCTACATTACTCTTTGCATACATCTCCCCTCTCCTCCCTTCTCCCCATGTCCATAAGTCTGTTCACTGTGTGTGTTTCTCCATTGCTGCCCTGTAAATAAATTCTTCAGTACCATTTTTCAAGATTCCATATATATATGCATTAGAATACCATATTTATCTTTCTCTTTCTGACTCACTTCACTCTGTATGATAGGTTCTAGGTTCATCCACCTCATCAGAACTGACTCAAATGCGTTCCTTTTTATGGCTGAGTAATATTCCATTGTGTATATGTACCACAACTTCTTTATCCATTTATCTGTCACTAGACATCTAGGTTGCTTCCATGTTCTAGCTATTGTAAATAGTGCTGCAATGAACAATGGGATACATGTGTCTTTTTCAATTTTGGTTTCCTCAGGGTATATGCCTAGGAGTGGGATTGCTGGGTCATATGGTGGTTTTATTCCTAGTTTTTTAAGGAATCTTTTATGTTTATGTTTTTTAAGCACCCCTGGCTAATTTTCCATGTACAACTGAACTCTTGACTGAATTTCTTACATTAGCAAGACATAAGGAAAATAAACAGGTGCTCTTAACCATATATTTTATGTTCTCAGAATTTTAAAGTTAAAAGCTGTTTAGATTTATTGGTAAATGGATTTATTGTTTCCTTGGACACAGGTAAAATAATTTGATTTACTAGTGTTTAGTTGTGCTTTATCTTAGAAACATTTTTGCAGATACAGTGTCTCCAGGTGTGTTTCCGAGAGTAGGATGACTCATTAGAGGGCTTTGTTTCAGCTCTGAGTGTTTCTCTGAGGAGTTCTCTACTCACACATTGCTCTGGGAAATAGACTCCTTTTCTCGAAATACAGTCCCGTTTCCGTTCTTCTCTACTTAAGATTCTTAGGAAACAGTATTTCCGTTTTCTTGAACATGACCTTCATGAAATTTTACTCCTTTGACACTGATTTATGATGGTACTTTCAAGAAGGGAGAAAAAAAGTTTTTTTCACAGTTTTCTAATACAATGATTTTGATGAATTCAGTTTAACATTTTAAAGGTAAAGCTAAATAGGTTAAATATTAGACTTTATGAACTGTAGAACTATGGGATTTTGTCACACTTTATGTTAAGGAAAAAAACTATTTCTTATGTCACATGTTTAAGCTGTACTGTTTCCATACTTTAATCATTTGAAAGAAGAATTCTATGCTGGAGAAAAAGCACAGGATGAATTGAGGGATACTGTAAAAAATATGACAGTTTTAATCTGTTTTAAGTACTTTAAGAAATGTTACTAGTAAATTTTTGTTTGAGAGCCTTTCATTAATTATTCAGTTGTTTCTAGTAGGGCCCCTTTAGGAACTAATACATAATATCCTCTAAATAAAAGGCACTTAAAGAAGTTTATCAGGCTGTAAAAGACTGTTTTTTCTCAAAAATAATTGCAAGGGTGGTACTTTGTATTCATTTCATTATTTTCAAAGTAGGAAATAGATTTAAGTTGGATAACACCTATTTTAATTGTCTTGCCAATGTTCTATTAGCTACCACTCTGCATTGTAGTTGAATAGAATTGTGACTTCAGCTTTGCATATGAAAACGGGAATGTGAAAGTCAAATATGAATGATTAAAACTTCCAAGGGTTACTTTCAAGTGGAGCTGAGTAAGCTCTTCCCAGCCTTTTTCTTCCTCCCTACATACAAGGGATAACAAATGAAATTTTCTGAAACTTTATTATACCATTTTATCTGTTTTCACTACTTATCTAAGTACAGTTACACTTATTAAAAGGAGTATCATATTTGTATGGGTATGCCAGAAGAGTAGATGATGGTTTCCATTGCAGCCCATAGTTGTGTCTGACTAGTGTTCCTAACCTCCATCCATGGGATTTTCCAGGCAAGAGTACTGGAGTGGGGTGCCATTGCCTTCTCCGTTAGTAGCAGTGGCAGCAGTGTACCTAGCCTGTATAATGATAGACCCAGAATCAGAGTTCTGATTAATCAGAGCTTTCATCACCAGCTGTTAAGGTAGGGATATTTCCATCCTATGTAATGTGTGGTATTTGTTTTTAGGCAGGAACTAGTCGCAGAACTGGACCAGGATGAAAAGGACCAGCAAAATACATCTCGTCTGGTACAGGAACATAAGAAGCTTTTGGATGAAAACAAAAGCCTTTCAACTTACTACCAGCAATGCAAAAAACAGCTAGAGGTCATCAGGAGTCAGCAGCAGAAACGGCAAGGCACTTCATGATTCTCTGGGACCCTTAAGTTTCAAAATATGCAAAGACAGACTTTTTTTTTTTTAGGAAAGAAAAACCCTTATAATGACAATTCATGAGTGTTAGCTTTTTGGCGTGTTCTGAATGCCAGCTGCCTGTATTTGCTGCATTTGTTTCATCGTTTATTTTCCTTTTCTCATGGTGGACATGCAATTCAACTGTCTCCTTACATCACATGGGGGCATCTGTACTTGAATAAGCAGCAGTTCTCAACTTCAGAACAGATGCAGTGAACCGTGGCTGTATGTGCATGCTCGTGTGTGAAGGCTGGCCTAAGGAAAACAGGGGTGTCAGACTAGCTGCTATGAGCAAACATCGTCTTTTTTTCGAGGTGGAACCTCAAGAATGATTTTGTTCTTGTATCTCATCTCAAACAACCAATAATCTTTTTATCCAAAAGATGGTATATACCAAGTTAAAGACAGGGTATTATAAATCTAGAATAATTGGTGGTACATTATAGAAATGCAGAAACTTTAGGGATAGTTGAGAGGGAGGGCTTTGATGCCAGCATCCTTGGATCAGTACTGAACTTTATCCATAAACCTTAAGGTAAGTGACAGCCGCTGTATTTAATAGAAGTGTATTTCTTTAGACTTAAATTTGGCTATGATACATAGAACAAAGTGGAACCCTTTTTTTAAAAGGTATAAAGATTTTAAATTCTGTGATTGCGTGTATGTGTGCTGAACCTGTAAAGCTTTTATGACTCTTAATATCCCTTAAATGAAATTAAAAGCTAAGCGAACATGATCCAGCTTAACTGATCATTCCTTCCTGCAGTGATTATTGTATTGTTTTACTGTATATTTGAAAAACTGAAGAGAAATAATGGAAAATGGAAATAATTGCTCCAGCTAAAAGGTTCAGGCCTAAACTACTTTTACAATACCAAATGAGTAAAAAACCTGACAAATCAGGACAAGTTAGTGAAGAAGTTAAATGAATAAATCTCAATTCATCAAGTACCCTGTTTATCAGTATTGGAATGATTGATTTTCCTTGCAAGCCCATCCTAGAATGCCTTTCAACACTTTTAAAGGAATTTCACTTATAAAGAAAAAATTTATATTGTTAACAGTAACTTTGCTACCAACTTTGAAAATAAAAGTAATAATAAAACTTCATTGAAATAGTAGACTATATAAGCTCTATTTTTTCAGTTGGTATTAAAATAAACTACATTTTGATACCAGTACAATGTGTCTTTTAAATAGGGATGTCACCAACCTCATTTTTATAGCATTAATGTTTTATGAAGAGAAAATTAAAAATGAAAGCATAATTGCTGTGATTATTAGAATTATATTGTGATTGTATTGTAGTTTTGCTCTGTTTCAGATAAGCAAGTTGATCTAAGAAGTTATCAAAATTATTCTTAAAAATACTAAAGCAGGTAACTTTTTCTTCCATTATTTCTTCCTCTTCCCACTGAGTTTTATAATGTATTCCTTATGTACACAAGCAATAAAGGTAAAGGACAGTTTGTACTTAACTGTGTCGTTTTTAGCTTCTTCAGAATCAATTATTTAAAAGTTTCTAGTAAATATCAATAAATAGTGACTGTTACTTCATTTAAATAAACAGGATTTTCATTCCCGAATGATTTAATTACCTAACTAAAGGTGACGTTAGGCTCAGTGTTAGTAGTCGAATAAGCTTGACGTGGAGAATAAGGAAAAGCTTCACTCTTTTCATAGCATCGCGCTTGTTTGTACGTCTGTCACACCACCAAAAGGGACCTAGCCAGTAAGTTTAGAGACTTCTCTAATCATCTCAGAGCATGAGATAGCCAAGCGTGGATGCTAAGACGGAACTTTTCCATTAGGATTTAGCAGATTGCAGATTTTATTTCTGGTCATTAATGTGTTTTTGTTATACATTACATGCTTAAAGGGAAAGTTGTTTATTATTATTATTATTATTATTATTGTTATTATTATTATTATATGCAGTCACTTCATAAAAATATCCCAGATAGGTAAATGGAAGAAAATAGTAGTTTAAGTCACGGTGCCAAACGCAGAAAAGGCTGTTAAACCCTCCCGTGTCTGTTTACAGTCTCTTCCTGGGGTTTCCGGTACTGCAGTTGTCCTGCACGCTGAGTACAATTCAGCCTGACTTTGTTTCTAAGTTCTTGCATTGCCAAGCTCATGCTTTTAAGTCCTTATTCTTGATGAAGGGAAAAAAAGAGAGCAGGGTTAATTAAAATCTGTAGCCAGTTTCATCAGTGTTCTTACCCGTCAGCCCTTCAGAGATGTTAACAAGAAACCAAATTTGTTATTAACTCTGGTTTTACCATGTTTTGTAGCTCATGTATTTTGGAGGGATGGAGATAGCTGATAGACATGGAAGTGTCTAGAAGGGCCTAGTGTGAAAAATTCACAAGCAGTCCCTGAATAAAGCACTAATTACATTTCATTTTAGCCTCCAGGGAAAGAAAACAAAGCTTTTAGCTAACTTACAGGGAAATGCTCCTCAGCAGTTAAAATAGACTTTTTGAGGCAAATAAAAATCATTTAAGAATATTTACCTTATAGCCACATAGTATATTGAAGAGATCTGTTTAAAAGTTGTTTACAAATGTTTGACTATTTTTGCTGAAGTAATTTAGAGCATTGAATGTCTTTTCCATTTCTCCAAGTTTCTTTTGTGTTCCTAATGTCATCTCCTGCCTGTAGCCGGAGATCACAGGCCTTCCCTGTGAAACTCTTGTTTCTTGCTGTAAGTGTGTGTGGTTTTCAGCGGTCAGCTCTTCTTCAAATGGTAGGAAGTTCTACTTCCGTCATTCTGAACATTTTATGTAAAATGATGTAATGCAGAAATCCTTGTGCATACTATGTAATTGAAGGAAGCTTTTTAGATTTATTTTTGTTTGTAATAAAATTCAGATTGTTACTCTAAACTTGGTCATAAAACTGGTGCATGATTTATATCAGCAGAAGAGCTATGAGGTGTTCCGCTCCAGCAGCCTGTTTGGCTTATACAAAATAGAATAAAAACTCAAAAGTCAGACTCCTAATACTTAATGCCATCGTAAAATTTTTAATGATTTTTGAGAAGCTTTCCTCAAATTCAGATTTTTGGTTAAATGGATTCTCTTCACAATTTCAATGAACCGTGATTTGCATGAGGTATAACACAGTGTACATCACTACACTTATGCTCATTAGCAACCTGATTTCTTGTAGTCTGTCTAAGTTACATTATTTCATTTCTTTACCAACCTGTGAGCCTTCTGAGCTGCACATCTGTGCATGCACACGAACTCGGCCTTCACTTTAGTGAAGGCATCTGCTTATTCGCCATCCCCAGCAAGTACCTCTCGGGCGCCTGTGAGAAGCCACGCTGCGCTGTCTGCTGCCGGGTGGCGTGTCCGTTCCAGTCCCGTTTCACAGATGGAGCCGTCAGCGCCTGGTGCCTGCGGCTGCTTTTCCGTCATCATCCCTCTTCAGCAGAATCGCAAGCCGGGAGGCTGTGGCCACCGCCAGCCCCCGTGAAGGAAAGCTGAACGGCAGACAAAGGGAGGGCCGTGAGGCACCTTGGAGCTTGCATCCCAGGGGCTCGGTGGCCGCTCTACCGAGAGCAGCGTGCCAGCGTTGAGACCCACGTGTATCTCTCAAGCCTGAGTCTGCTCTAAGCCGCTTCGCTGTGCTGTGGTTTAGAATGCTCCCTGAGAACCGAGGTGCTTCAGCTTTTTCAGTCACCTATTTGATGGGTAGGGCGTCTTCAGCCTTCTGCCCCACCCTCAACCCCCACACCTGAAGAGCGTGCTGAAAATGGAAAAACAGGTCATGGGCTTGTAAGACCTGGTCTTTAGACTCCTCCATTCTTCAAAAAAAGAGACTTTACCCAGGCTTTTTTCATTTTTGGTTTGTTCTTGTTTTGGTTTTTGCCCCTTTTTGGTGTGTGTGCAGTCACTTGAGTTGTGGCGGGGACAGGGGGTCCTATTAAAGAATAATTGGAGTGTAATTTTTAATACAAGAAACCGTATCCATTTAAAGTCTGCAGTTTATTGAGTTTTGACACGTGTGCGCACTTGCAAGGGACTTTCCCGGGCAGCTCAGTGGTAAAGAATCCGCCTGCAACACGGGAGACGCGGGGTCAGTCCCTGGGTCGAGAAGATCCCCTGGAGAAGGAAATGGCAGCCCACTGCAATATTCTTGCCTGGGAAATCCCATGGACAGAGGAACCTGGCAGGCTACAGTCCCTGGGGTCTTAAAAGAGTCTGACATGACTTAGCAACTAAATACACTTGTAAAACCATCCCAGCGACCAAGATCCCGAACATTTCCATCCCCTGCAAAGCTGCTCTCATCGCTTACAATCTATCCCTCCCTTCTCTCCAAGCCCCAGTGTTCTCTCTAGCAGTGTAAAATAGTGAACATTTTCTAGAAGTTTACATGCATGAAATGATTCAATATGTACTCTTCTTATGCTTTTTTCCTCCTCTTCAGTTGTTTTAATTTGAGAGGAATTTTTTATTTTTAATCGTTTTTAGTGATGCTTATCAGTTTTGGGGGGAAAATGTAGGTTTTAAGAGGTTGTAGATATGTCCAGTATGGCCTATTCGATTGTACAGTGTTACCATCTTCTGAAACATTTAGGATCACTTTATGTTTTATAGAACTTTAATACTTCACTCACAAAATCCCTTGCATTTGTTAGTTTTAAGCTTATTTGTGTCTGTATTACTTCAGGTGTTAGAAATGTGAATGGTCATGGTGGGTAACATTAGTGAATATTCAGTCCTTGGTGATTTTCAGGAAATATGGTTGATAAATGTAATTTCTTTTCAGTTTTTTTGGGTGTTTTTTTATGTTGTAGTTGCTTTTTTCTTGATCAAAAAAGGAAAGATGAGGTTGGTTACACTGCAGAATAATATGAAGAAGATTTTGAATAACAAAACAATCTTTAAAAATCGTTAGGTATGGTATCGCGTCCAGGTGCTATCAGCGTCCTGTCTGCTGAG